AAAGTGTTTTTTCATTTTATCAAAGGCTCTCTAAACGTTTTCTGACATTTCTTTAGACAATTGATACTACTGTCGAGCAAAATTCGGGCCCCATAACTTTTTAAGGAGAATCATTTTGCAGTTTTAATTTCCATTTTCGTAAACAGCATTCAAAACTCTATCGATTTATCTGGGTCTGAATTCAAAGTTCCAAGATAAGTAGACTACCCCTCCCTGGTTAGCTGTTCAAGTCATAAACTACATACATCAGCTACCGTCATACTGATGTTTATGGAAACCTTAACTATTAATAACGATTGATAATCTCTCTAAGTAAAACACAGTAATAAGCCATTCTTGTCGATACTTTCAGTGCTGTTTACAAAGGCTTCTAACACGTTGTGTACCGATTTCTATAGCTGTTGTATATAATACTAGCGGACCCTCGTGCCTTTACGAATTTGGTAGGATCCAAGGTATGCATCCGTCCCTGTGAGCCCAATATCTCATCATAGTACTCGTAGACATGGATGTACGGGCAATGTTACTAAGAATTCTGAGGCAAAAGGATTTAGAGTTTCCCCTTCGCTTCCTCCCCTAACCACTTCCTGCTCATTACGTTGTCGTGTTCTCCTATTTCGTGTTCAATGGGGAAATCCGATTAATTTCATGCTTGAGGCGGTGTACATAGTGAATGTTCTCTCCCGATTCCTTCCGCATCACGCGATCCGTCAAGGTTTAACAGGGAACGATGAACGTTTTCTCATTACTAAAAACATACTAAGTATCGACCGACGACGAACAAACATACCATGGCTCGTCGGTCTGTCACCAATGAACGAATGAGTATCCAGGAACATGTTGCTCATTCTATTAAGTTTATGTCAACATTTCCGTCAAATCCCAAGCTCTTTCTTTACTTTGTTATCGCTACTTTTATTGAAATCGATCTGGAATTTGGTTAGATACGTATCTTTTTAGTATCGATAGCTCCTTATCATAATTTACTTGCTATGAAGTCACAATAGCAAGAAACTGTATGGGAACTATTCGTTCTCTGAGCAATACAAGTCCAAATCAAACTGGTATAAGTTCATGATGGCATTACTTAACTCGACAGAAACCAGTTAATTGTCGAACCATAATTCGAATCACCGGGGCATTGATCCTATCGAACGCCCTTTTCAATTGTAAAGTCGCCATTTTTCTTCTTCTTTTGCAATTTTATATTCTCCGAAATTACGAGCTTCATGTACTCCCATCTCAAAAATCATTTTTCCCCCTCCATAACTGATTAGCGGGGCAGTTTTCCGTTGGTTTGGCCTCATATACGGCTTATGACTGGCGAAATGAGTAACGTCCATCGTTCCAGTAGAGGCAGTGACGAAGGACCAGCAGTAGGGTCATATTTCTAGCCTCATTAGCGTGTTGATGGCGTGAATCCGGTCTATTGAGGCCACCAACGATGATGATGACGGTAATGCGCATAGCACGTAGAAATCCTAGGTCTGGTCTTTACCTCGGTAGATTCGACCCTTCAGTGAGCACCTGCTGATAGGTAAGGCCGACCTAAGATGGTGTTGGTCGCCCGTGCACCCTCCCTATGCCCCACCCCGTCGCCCCACCTCCCGTCCTCGTCATCACATGGTGGGGTGGCCACCGCCCTCTCTCTAGTACACTCTCTCCCAGCAATGCGTCTCTCGTCTGTCATCTGTCGGGTTCGCATTCTTCACTTCTTCCACTGCTCTCTTTCTTCTGGCATGACTCCTTAATCTCAATCGTCGTCGGTCGTAGTCGATGGTCTCCATCATCGATATGCTCTATACGTATTGCTGAGTATCTCTGACCTCCATGATGATTCACCGGTCTTTCTCACGCTCCATCCCTCCACGGTCAGAATCAGCAACGCTGTGACATTCCTTCATCACTACCAATGTCGCCACTGTTATCAAGTTTTCATTGACGGGCCCTATCATCATTAGAACTTACTTTATGATCATCAACTAAACCAGCTATGAAGAGTGGATTTTATGATAATGGATGATCATTCGCTAAGCTAATCGCAATCATCATCATTCCCATCCAGCTTTTGTCAAAGCTTCTAATCTTAGTTTCCCATGCCCTTCTTCGAATGAACGCTCTTCGCTTTACGGGCAATCACGATACTGAATCGCTTTAGTTTTTGCTAATAAATTGTTATACTTAAATTTCGTAAAATTATGGATGTCGCCGTGGAGGAGTGGTGCCTTGGCGCTTATCACTGATTGCTACGTTCTCCCTTTTTCATTGACCATTAAAAGACGGTGTATGGGCTTCTAAAATTGAACTTTTTAGAATTCTGGAGGCTATCCGTAGAAGTTTCTAGAAATTTCTAGTTTTTGTGGTTTGCAAGCCAGCGAAAACGGCCATGCAATACGATTGTACTCCTCAGATGTGCAGTCGAATCGTCACAGCGTTTTCTTCTCCAATTTCGAACTAAAAGGGGCGTATGGCCTCAGAAAATTCAACTTTTTGGAGGCTTTTCGAGGCTTTCCATAGAAGTTTCTAGAAATTTCTAGTTTTTGTGGTTGACAAGCCAGCGGAAACGGCCAAGCAAACCGATTGTACTCTTCAGATGTGCAGTCGAAGCGTCCCAACGTTTTCTTCTCCGAATCCGAATTAAAAGAAGCGTATGGCCTCCCAAAATCCAGCTTTTTGAAGACTTTTGGAGGGATCCATAGAAGTTTCGAGAAAATTCCAGTTTTTGTGGTTGACAAGCCAACGGAAGCGGCCAGTCATCCCATGCAAAATGATTGTACTCGTCAGATGTGCAGTGCTCAGGCGTCACAGCGTTTTCTTCTCTCCTCTGAATCCATGGCGACTTGAAAAGGGCGTTATGCTGTCACATGCACTAACAGCTAGCTAGCTAGCTAAGCCATAAGGTTATTCTGCATGCAGATCGATACTGAGTTGCATGAAGAGTAGGGCATGAATGTTGTAAGTAATTGTATAGAATTCATTCAGTTTCCACCAAATTGCCTGATGGCTATAATAGCGCGGGTTTCGGCTGCTCCCATGGTCATCTCCCCCTTCCAATGGCAATCGTTCCCGACGTTTTTTCCTCTCATGAATAATAGATGCCAAGCTGCAGTATACACGGGAATACCGAGGAGGGAGAGAGTTGAAGAGGTTGGGAGCAGGCGAGCCTCAATAGAATTCCCCATTCATCTCCCCCGTGTTTTGTTCCGTTGTGTTCACCAGCAGCTACTGCTCCCGCTGCTCCAGCTGCTGCTGCTGCTGCTTTATTGAAGTCGGCTGCGCGGCTCAGTCCCATGCATTTCCCATTCAAGCCCCATAATCGCTGCATATTTACAATTGGTTTGGTCTGGAATGAATATCTATTGGACGGGGGGTTGATTCATCATTCCCTGATCATTCAGTTCATTCATCTATTTATAGCCATGGGCGATCGGCGAACATGAATGGGAAAGCTGGTGGGAGCTTTTCTCGGTTTTTTCCGGCCCGAACTCACTGCACTGCACGCGCGTAATTTGTGGTCGTTGACGGTGGTCGTGGATGTGGATGTGCCTTTTCTTTGTAACTACGTACCCGGTGCGATACGTTACGGTTTGATGGCGCACCAACAACGTTCCCATCAATGCTGTTCTCTGGTAAAAAGTAAGGCGCTTGCTCGTTTCTTTTGAAACTCACGACGATCCGCGCGATTCATGTGAATGTGCGGCGTCCGTCCCGTCGTCAGCGCTGCAGCTGGCCGGGCCTGACGACGACGATGACGATTTTCGCCCTCAATTTCGTAGTGCGACTTCGGCAAACGCCAACTACACACCCGGCTCATTTCCGTTTTGGCCGCGGTCTAGACAACTGGCGCCGGTTACTTTTCCGATCCCTTGACCAAAGGTGCCCAGCGCTGCTATTTGGAAGGGGATGTGTACGTCCGTAGATGGTTACTGATAATGCTGAAAGTTTGCCTATTTGTCAGGTTGCTCCAACAATCACCTTTCCTCCGCCTACTCTACGGCGGCCGGCCCGTCTCTCCTCCCGTTCAGAGCAAACAATTAGATAGCGAGTGCGAGAGGAAGGCGCGCGCTCTGTGGAATGGGGAGGGTCGGGTGGCCCCGATTCTGGTTGTATGCGGTGTGTGGGTGAGTGTGAGTGCCGATCGATTGCCTACGTTACTATCAACGGGTTTCGACCTCAGATTAGACTCTGACTGTTGTATGCGGTTCCCCGTATAGACTTGTTGTTTCGTGCCTAAAATAAACTTTACCTGAATGGTGCTACTGAAGGCCGGCAAAAAATCGTTTGCTAGCCTTTTTCTTTCGCATTACCCTATATCATTTCTTTTTTTACTCGGTTTTCTCAGTTGCTATGAAAATGAGAGTGACAGTGAATAATTGATGAAGGGGGTAAGCTTGTCTTCTCGAAGTAAATGTCGCCATGTTTAGAGTGTTCACGGGGAATTCCTGTGAGCGTCACGCTCATTGACTGCACCTCATTCGTTGCATCGTTGGCGAATACTGATGAATGAAATTAGTATCGGTCGACTGCAATCAGCCGCTCTACTGTCCTGTCCCAATCAGATGTTCGTCTTACTGAATTACTAAAAAGTATTTTCGCTCTCGTGCACACCAATGCCGCCGTTTCACGTTTCTGCCCATAGTTATACTTGGAACCGAACATTTCGTCTTGATGAAACCCTAGTAAACCAGATCGTCGTCAACATCTAAGTATCACCGAGTATCATATGCTTCAGAGCAGAATAACTACTTTTATATATCAGCACCGAAATACGTGATGTGCTATCTTACAGTCGAATGGCAAATCTCGTCACAGCCAGCCCTCCAATCAAGCATGACATCGTTCTCCGTCCGTCCGCTCAGTCTTTCCCATCACACACACACAACGCTTTCAATGTCCCCCCTTACACAAACCTTCTCTATCATCTTATCTCCCATTCTGCCCCGTACTATCAGTAATGCTGTTCGAGATGTAGCGGGGTTGTGTTCCTATGGCGCCAAAGGAGTTGTAAGGCTGTCCGAAATGGCCGTACACTCCTCGGACGTTCTCATTTTTACTACCCCCCACTCCAAGCTTTCAGTTTTCCGATTCCCGAAGACTTATACCTTTGGTTGGAGCTGTTGAAAATTTTTTGAACTTTTTGGAAAACTTTAAAACAGCTTTAACTTTCAAAATCCTGAATCAAGACATGCAACCTTTCGTATTACCCGTTCTGTGGTTTTATGTAGTTAATCCGCATAGATACGGTATTCGTTCTTATGGTATTTCGCTTATGAAATAAACTAGTTACGGTCAATAGACTAGTAATGTTGACGAGATAGTTGCCCTTACAGAACGATTCGATTTCCACGCATTCGGGGCCAAATTGGGCGAGTTGTTAAGACGTTAGCCTTGTAAACATTGCTGTCGAGGTTGAACAAAGTTCGAACGCACATTTTCTGAGTTTACTGTTCCTGATGGGGGTCTTATTTCGGAATGAAGGGTCTAGATGTGTGTACATATCAAAATGCTGTATGATTCTGTCATAAAATTCTACATTTCCCATTTATTTTTCGTGACGCGGCGATACCTGTGAGTACGATTAGGGGTGTGCCCGGGGCTGCTGCAGACGACGCCGCGGACCGCAATTATCTAGAAGAGCCGAACCAGATTCACACGGCCTTCAACGGCTTGCTCGTTGTTTTTCACACTTCTACGAAATACATTCCTCCCTTTTAACCATCCTCCTTGGAATCATTCAGTGCTTTACTAGTCATCACATTCATACGTTACAAGTATTCCTCATCAGAATTCTGATATGGGACTGATATGATTCAGCGGAACTGAGTCATACCGGAATGAACGATAGAAAAACCCCTTTTCTCGCCATATGTGAAAACTTATGCAGTTTCATTTCCCTTTTATCATCGGGGTAAAGGTGTCTCGGATCGTTAGGAACCGGCATCGCTATCACACCCACACACACTCTCCAGGGATCAAGTCCCGGGTCAAATTTTGATTGGTAAACGGTACCAGTCAACTGCAACTTTGGAAAACTGGAGTTCGCATGTTACTGTATCAATCAATATGAGTTTGACCGGGAGATTATAAATGGAATTGAACTGGTGGTATATTTCTGAACAGGACCCTGTTTTCCCTGTTCCTATCAAGAGCCAGATTGTCAGAAGGGTAAATAAGATTGGCACCAACTCGTCCTTATCGCATCCCACCCACCTGATTCATTGGCTTTTGTTTATTAACAAAATTTCCCCGAAAAATGTGTGTTTGCCATGACCCTGCGTGATTCGCGTTTCACCTTGTATTGGTACGTGACCTCGATCATTCTTGTTGTTAACTGTTTATCGTCACAGTAATTCATTAGTTATTATTAACTGTCAACATAGATAAACAAACTTTTTGATGATCTCTGTTCATTATCACGGGAATCTTAAGCGATTTTTGACCATCATGTGATACCCACTATAAAAAGAATCGGATTCCTTGTATTTCAGCAACTTTACTGCTTTGCCAACTTAGTATCGATTGAGATATTCACAGAACAGGACCACCCACCCTCTGGAGTAATGATCCCAATTTTCTTTGATGGCTTATTTGTACCTTTTACGAATAAATATTTGTCAGGAAAAGTTTCCCCTCTTCCTTCCTCCCTTCACTTAGTAACAGCCTCCGGGTGAGCTTAGCGTTGATAAGTAGGTCGTGTCTGGGAGCACCCTCTCCACACGCAGGAGGGAGCCGAGTGACGGGCATTATGTACTGTTGTTCATTGCACAGTATTTGCAGCAGCATTGCACTTTAAACTCCACTGATATTTGACTAGCCTCCCCTCAAAACTAGTTAAGTGCAGACCCTAAGTGGGGCTTTTTTCAGTCCGCATGATCCTATTGGTACCAGACCCAAGCCACAGAGCGCTGCTGCTCTTGTAACATGCTGCTTTTTGTCGTAAGGCGGACCTCACCATTGTTGACTCACCTGTCAAGGCCACCGTCGTTTTGGCTACACTTGGTTCTTGCTCACATCTCGGCGAAAGTCCAACTTCACCAGTCCAACTCCTCTTGTCTACATACTCAACGATCTCAAAAATGTGAACTGCAGCTTCTCCCTAACCTAGCTTATGAACTGGAGGTTGATTGCACTTATTACAACTGTAGATACTTCTTTGTTGATTAATCTTATACTGGTTGCCTTATCTGGTGTTCTGATGGTACAAAAAGGTGGGCAACTACAATGACGTAGGTCTCGGCAATACTATAGTCATTTCTGGAACAGTACTGTATCATTAGGTCAGGATAAAACGCTCAGTTCAATTCGGAACTAATAGTCACCGATTATTTCAATATTTCGGAAAAAAGTATTCTTTGATCGTAATTCCATTTCCTACTGTTGTACTTTCGCTTTTTGAGCATAATTGTCATGGAAATTTCAATGTGATACCTATCTTCGACCTTTCGTGATCATGTTTTCCGAAAAATTTCGAAGTATTTTTCGTATTTTCTGTTTGGGAATCATATTGGACGGTACGCTACTGTTTGTACAGTTTCATAGAACGGACGGACATCGTCGCCGACGACGATGATGATAATGACGGTGACTCAGCCGCGTCAAATTCGAATTCATTGGCCTTATGGTGCAATTGCTGCATGGCATTCGTGAATTCCCTGTTCGATAAATAGTCGGTCGTCTGGTTTAGGAGGGTAGGGAGGGAGCTGGAGCAGCAGTCCGAGTTCCATTGCATCTCCCCTGAGGCACATGCCACTTGCACTCCTCCTCGCTGCCGCTGCCACACAGTGAAATACTTTGTGTTGCCGTCTCGGTCAATCGGATCTCATTCTTAAATGCAGCATTCAACTGGTAAAGACGGAGCAGCAGCAGCAGCTGGTTATAATAATAGTTCTTTACCTCTGTTCATACATTTGAACAGGCTTTTGTCATGCATGTGCAGCCGTTTCAACAGCAGCAGCAGCATACTGCGCAGCTGTGATAGCGGCATTGACGCCATGGCCACCACCACCACCACCACCACCACCACGCCATCACTGCTGGCTGGTGCTTCGTCGTCGTCACAACCGGTCTGGTTAGTTAACCGATGATAACGTGATTGATTTCTACAGCACCTGCCACATTTCGACACTCCCCTGTTACCTTTTTCTCAGTCAAGTACTGCTCTGACTAGTTTAATGGCGGTAATAACAGTTATACCTGGTCTATGTTACTTGTATTTCTGTCTCGAACTATTTTACTCTCTCATATGGGTTCCTACACTATCCCTCCGTGCAGCCGTCATTTACAGCTGTGCCCTTTCCATGTAATTATACCTATTGTTATGTTCTAAGCGAGAATTTTTGGCTATTGTTTCCTTTCCTCCACCACTCATCGGCTTGGTGGTGGCTTGCTGCCGTCCGTTCGATTTGTCAGCTGCACCACGACAGATGCATGTGCAAAAGATATGTGTGTTTGCAATTTTTTTTATTGTCAATTGAAAAGGAATGTGTGATGATAGATCGCTCTAGAAAAATGATTGTTATAATGGCAGGCGGGCAATCATTTTCTCCAGATTTCGGCTATTTTTCGTTTTTGTTGAACCACAATTCCGAAAAATATATTTGTCTGTAGATTGTTGACATTTCATTCTGTCTCGTTAAACCACCCGTGGGCCGGCCGGTCTCTTACACTGTTGTCAATCAAATTCGTAGGTGAATTCTCTATGTAAAGGATTCTTTCAGCTGTTCTCCCAGGTTCAGCCGTTGTTCTTTGCTCACCCAGGTGTTCCTTCCCAACTCGCGTTTATCAAAGTTCAATGGTTGATTCGATTCGGACTTTATTCTGAGCCCATCAGAGCCTCCCTCAGGGCTCCCATAGTTTTAACATTTTTGCGAATTGTCGTCGTTGGGGGGCGTGCCACCCGTATAAGACGCCGTTCGGCGCCAGGAGGCTGAAACACACACGAATTCGATTCCAGCTTTGTTTTTCTCCTCCTGGGTACTACTTTCCTGCTTGTTATTTTTCCCAAGCATACTCTAAAGTTATCAACAAGTTGCTCTCGCCTTCGCCAACCTCATCCAAGGGTCGTCAACGAGCAGCTGACCCACAAGGATCACCATTCCTTTAGTTCTTGCTTTTCAATCAATTGAACTCCCCATGTGACTGATAAATATGACTGGGAAAACTGCGACTTCAACGTTACTCAAACCCGTTCATGTAAAGTAATGTTTAGGAGTAATGCGGAGGGGTCAAATGGCGACTGTATGGTGAAACTTGCTATAACACTTGTCACTTTGGATCATATGGTGACAGGCTGAGGCGCACTGGAACTTTGTCGGCTCGAGAAAAATTGTCAACCAGTACTTGATGAAGGGTCGTCGTCATTGCCATTGCTATCATTTCCAATACCACTAGGCTAGGGGCTAAACCTTAAGATCGTTTCAATATGAACTGTGATGTTTGGTGGATGTTTATGATGTCAACAGTTGTTGTCTTCGTATGTGCTTTGAATGCGGTCATTAACGCGAGATTCAAAGGGCTTGTAGACCACCACATGTTCAGCCTGGTCTTTCTTTACACCAACGCTCAGAAGTTCATTTTACACGTTCCTGTGTTTGTCATTCATAAATCACTTTTCTATGGATTTCCGGACCTTGAATTTTACCGCATTTTAGTGCGAAACGTCTCTTTTACTCTTCTGATTACTTCAGAGTAAATGTTATCTCCACCAGCTTTACTCTTTATAGAAACTGCTGAATCATAGATCTAAAGTTGATTATGTATAGTGTACATGAAGACGTCGTTGTACGATTATCTCTTGCTTACGAAGGGGCCCCTTCAACTAATCGCTCGATCCCGAAGGGGGAGCTTATGTGGGCTGTTGTTACGGTAACAGGCAGGCGAGGTGGGCCTAACGGGTGAGCCACCTCACTCTCCACTCAGTCAATTCGCTCCCTCCGCCCCACATCTTTGCACACTCTCCCTCTCAATGCATACATACATCGCCCCTAACACTTATCATGCGACTTGTGATGACCATACCCTCCTCCTCGTTCCCCCCCCCCGGTTTATGTGATTTTGACTATGAGTTTTCGACGTTCTTCTTGTCGTTATCCCTGCCCTTTGGGATCCGATTTCAACCCTTCTGCAATTCCTATCACTTTCTTCACTTAATAAAAACGTCTCCGATTTTTCTAGCATCCAACTATGCTCGCCGTATGCGTTTAACTTCGATATTGTTGTAAATATTGTTGTTGTTGTTTTCAGCCATGGCGGTGGGTAACCTGCTGGTCGCCAGCTTATTAATACCCTTAACGACCACCACGATTATTAGCGTAAGTTTTCTTTATAGCTATTTTTATTCTCCGAACTTTTTCCTTTCCAAAAAAAATGCCACCCTGTTCGTTCCATCGAGAAAAGAAGGGTCCGCAGAGGTCAAACGTGATTTGTCTGGGGCGCGGACGCGTCTAAACGTCGCACGTCTGAATTGTATTACATGTGTGGTGGGAGTGGCTTTGATTAAAGATTGGAGCAACGATTGCGGACCTCGGCAAACTTCATAAAGTCCGCAATTTCTCGTCGTCGATACGGCGCGGTCGCGCAGATTGCACCCCAACGCGCTTACATAATGTTTACCCGCACCGCGCTGACATCCGACTTCTATAACATCGCAGTGCGAAGTTTTTTTGTTTAGCGCATCGTTTGGGACCGTCGGACGATGCCAGACGGATGAAGTGGTCCTTTTTTTGGTTTGATGCCGTGACAGAATAAGAATTTTCCAGAGACATCTGTGAGAGGGTTTTCGGTCCTGACATTCTCCAGTAAGCTGGCGCGTTCATAGTTTTTCAGCCGGGTCCTTGGACATCTGCAGAAAACAAAAATTGGCGGGAAATGACGCTACGGCTGTCGTGTTTCTGAAGCGTATAAAACTCTATCTAATATGGCGGAAGCCTTAGGTGAAGGTCACCATCGATAAGATCTCAAATAGAGATTGTCCATATGAACGGAAACTTCTGGAAGGAGGGAACAGACACTGATCAAACTTTCCATGACGATTTTTTGCCTCAAAAAATAGATAAGCAGGAAGCATGACTAGCTGAGCTCGATCTCATTCTCATTGTTTCCAGGGAGTTGCAGCTAACATCGATGCAACGTCGACAAAAAAGCATGAGAAATTCGTGCCACTAGTCGCATTCGAATGCGGTTATCGTAATAAATATATGAATGAGGACGGTGTATGGATTAGCGACGAGAATCGATATGCAACATGTCTCAGTGGAAAGCTGGACATTCTCAAATATTGCAAAAAGGTAAGCTTAAAACAGCAATTATTAAGTTATTGGACGAGATTTACCCTCATCTCATGTATAATCCCTTAAAACTCGTCCATTTTTTCAAGGTCATCTGAAGAGATGATAAGTTTTTTATTAGCTTTTTTTGTTTTTCATTTGTTTTTCGTATCTGATCTGACAAAAACAAGGGTCTTTTCCACTCAAGATGATTTCATTTTCCTGATGCCAATCTCAGCTTATGGGCTTCCCGGCTACTTATCGCCTCGATCAAGACTTATCATAATAACGGCTGTGTGTTTTCCTCCGTGTCTGAAATCCCATTTAGCTTGGCTAAACGGAAGCCAGTGAGTGAGTTGGCATAAACATCATCGACACCCATGGTCGCCTTAGAGAAGCTAATTCAGTTGCCTGAATTCGGAAACTGAAACTTAGGAAGGAATGCAGGGAAGCCTTGCACGGGGCCGGCGGCCGTATGCGAACGACGCGGCGAATCCTCTGGGGAGTCGTACATTCGTTCCTCAAGTCCAACACTCAGAATCCCGATATAGACCGCAAGTTACGACTATGAGTAAATGGGCACAAAGTCATACGATGTCGCATTTTTCGGAGCTGTGACAAGCATGCATTTGGGGGGTTTTTACACTTACACAAAGTTATTTACAGTACTTGTACTCCCTACCACCTCAATGATGGCCGTTCTCTCGGAGTGGGAGAGGGTTGAAGTCGTTTCCTTGAGGAGCAAAAGCTGGGAGTGAATATTTTCTAGTGTGTAAAATCTCTTTGCCTCATTCCTGACCCCCTCCCCCTTGAACAACTTGCTCCTTCGAGCTATCTCTCTGGTCTGAGAATTTCCATGAAAGCTTGTGTGAAAGCTCTCGAGTTTGTAGAATGAAAGCTACTACTGATTGAATGTGTCTGAGAGTGAGTATCGTGGGCTCCTGAGTGGCGTGGTTCTCAAGTTTCCTGGGTAAGCCGAGAAACTTGCACCAGGGTTGCGGGTATGCAAATATTGTTACTTGCCTTTTTTCCGAGAACCCAGATATTCATATCCTCTCGAGTACAATTGCTTCAGGGTCTATATTCTGACATGGCTTGCTCTTTGCTGTTTTCATGGAAGCCTTTGGGAGTTATCGTAGTTTCAGAACGACGTACTTGACATTTTCTACTTGCATGCGCCCGCGAACTCATCCGAATATTCCCTTTCAAACATCAATCTGGGTAACACGGACCAGAGAACATAGAATTCTAATACTGATAAAGTAATTACAAAGTTACTACGAAACGTCTAAAGTATGGTCGAGAAAGTTTCCGTCGTTCTGTGGGAAAAGCTTAACGAAGTACCTTTTTCTCATCGTTATATGAACATATGAACGGGAAGTCTGTTCCATTTAATTGTGGTTACGCGCAGAGCGATCACAGATAGACGGTCATTGCCGTTATGTTTACCGCTATTACGGTAATTCCGTGTCCATTTAATCGCTCTGATATTGCCCCGACGACAAATCGTGTCGGGCCAATCGTTCGGACTAGCGTTGCTCCCAATAGTTAACATATGAATGGCATATATAATAGATAATGGACATTAAAAGGCTTCCAAGGCTTTCTACGGCTTTCTAGGCCCTTCTAGACAAAAGTGCAACAATACCAGTAAATCTTTACGTGACCACAATGCCCTTGACTATAATAAACGATGGTAATTTGTTATTGACTGACAGCTCGCCGCCAAAACAACGTTGGGCTGGACAATGAAAATAATTAAGGTGAGGGAAGAAACAGGAAGTGAGGCTCATCCAAGACGGTCTGCCCTTTTCCTGGCTAGGAAGCACATCCAGGACAATCTAGTCATCGACCCTGGTTATCCGGGAAATACATACTAGTTCTCCGTGGGGTCACTTTGACATCCTGTACTGTTATGTCAAGGTTACGGCGATCAAAAAGTTGAAAACTAGTATAGTTACTGGTTGATGAAAAAGTGCAATCTTAAATGGTCTCGTGCACTTCCCCTAACGATATCCATATAGAGCGTGCACGTACCAATTTAAATCACTGCACTCATTTTTCTTCCCATCTCTTTGCATAAAATCAATGGGCTGGGAGTCCAACTATAAGTACATGGTACACGTCGTTGCTCCGGAACAGCCCTTAGTTGGGGGTTTCTTCTGGAAATTCTTCCCCAATGTAAATTAGGGGTGCGATCAAGGTTGCAACAAAAAGTAACGGCCGTTCAAATGGACGATATCACCCCTACTAATCCTGGAGAAAAGGAAGCTTCTCGAAGCCTCAGGCTCCAGTGCTCATTCCCATCTTTATGGGCGCCTACAGGAATCGTCCATGAGGGCAGTGGGCCATCAAATTGGAGCTGTTAGGAAAAATGAAGTATTTGACTCTAAAGATATTGCCCAAACAGGTCTACCTATCCCTCATCAGTGCTCCAAGACAGGACAAGCGTAGTGGTCGTGAATTTTCCCGAAAAGGCTCCATCGAAGTCTAATCCAAAATTGCGCCCTCCACCTCGTTCACGTCCGGAAATAGTCATTGATGGCGAACGGAAAGGAGTGCGGGTGGAGGAGAGAGTAGTTTCTGTATCAATGGGGCAGAATCTGGCCATTCAAACGATGGCGGAGAAATTCGGGGCCATTTAATTCAGGAATCACTTCCTCATCCTACTCGAGTAGGTGGGTATGGTGGGATCTACCGCAGGGCTAGCAAGTGAAAAGTTTTGATTGAAGTTAGAAGAAAAGTCGTTGAAGTAAAGTTGTCCTTTGAATGATTGTTTCTTTTTATGATAAGTATTGTAAAGTATTGTAAAAAGACGTCAATAATCATTTACCATTGTAATGAACACTTCGATCTTGACCCTGGATCGACATGGAACAGCTGACTACAGATCCTCTTCCAACTTATCATCAAGCAGATTTTTCACCATTTAACAGCTGGGCCATGGCATATGAGTCGTTTTTGTGGTTACAGGCTAGGGACCACCTTTAAGCTACCCTTAATTCTTAGAAACCGAGAGCTTTTCACTTATTTTTATTATAATGAATAACAACATAATAATAACATATTGATTTTCTAACTTTTTTCTCTTTTTCGTTTTTTTTTACAACGACCATAGCAAAAATTGTTTCTAGAAAAGTGGATAATCAACGTACCGATTATTTTCGATTACAGTATGCTATTTTAGGCGTATCCCAAATTGAATATCACAAATATTGTTGAATATTCACATGAGATGGCCATCGAGAATTGGTGTCGTGAAGAAGGCAAACCATGCAAATGGACTCACACCGTTCGACCATATCAGTGTATCGGTGAGTAAATGAACATTGTGTGGTAGTTTTTCTAAATTGTCTACAAAAACAAAATGGTCCCCTTAACTGCTGACTACTTGTTCTTCGTTAAATATTTGATCAAACGGGGAAAAACGTACAGTTTTTCTCGCAGCATTGTGATTCAAATGTTTGCAGCCGAAAACGCAAGACCGGAATTAGAGCGAAGTCATCGAGACATGGGAATCGCATTCATGAAATCAACGTTTCGTTGGCTTGGGACATCTTTCTGCGAAAAGGGAGGGAGGGGTGGGCAGCCGTAATTAGTTCAAAACATCTAGTAAAACCAGTAAAATTTCTTTGTTTGTGCCTTACGGTAAAGCGAATTACATTCAATTACGTGTTCTGGAACGTTTTATCATTGAAAATTACTACTACCTTCAATACAAATCACTATCTCAGAAGATTTTGATTCTCAGATGCCACTTACTCATGAAAAAGCGCAATGTTTTTCTGTAGTAAGTAAATTTTATCAGTTTGTTCATTACCTTGAAAGAAATTCCTAAAATAAGGCTCCACAAGTTGGAAAGTTCGCTGTTAAGGGTAGACTGGTTCGGGTTCTTCCACCTAAACGGCGGTCGGTGCTGAAAGCATTCGAGGAAACGAGTTGCGCTCTCAATCTGTCTGTTCATACTTTGACGCTTTGAGCAAAGACGCGCCAACGGATCAGAGTAAGAGATCGCAGACGGCGCGAGAAAATCCCGGTGGAATGTCGCAGCCCTTCTGGTGTTCTCAGTCTGTTTGGGTTCTAGGGGCTGAAGACGCCGCCTGCGTGGTGCTTTTTGTCAAATTAACCTCAATTACTGCCTCCTCTTACATCAGAGTTCAATTCCTTGATTGCCCCAGCCAGCCTTTGTCATGAAATGTGTCCTCAAGGGCATAGATCGCGTCGAGCGTGAGGGCCCTGCAAATTCCACTTTCACATTACCCAGGGAACTGGAACTACTTGTTAGGAAAGCGGTAAGTAGTCCCACCTATGTGGGGACACCTTCCCCTTCACCCTAGCGGTACTACGGTCTTTGTCTGTAGGGTTGATGTGAGAGGAAAGAATTGCTAAAAGCCTAGTAGCGTCTAATGGAACTCATGCAGCTCAGCTGCTACTATAACGTAGATAGCGGAGTATAGACTTAATTTAATTTCCTTATGGTAATCATTCTGAATGCAGCAACTAATTTTGATGATACAAAAAAAGTATGCATTAGCAGATGAAATTCGAGAAGGCATCCTAGTACGCTCTCTCAGTACATTTTTTGTCCTTGGATCGATTAATTTAATAAAAAAAGCGACGTATCCAGTATGGCATGGGGCATATGTACTATAGGCATCTCCATATGGCTAGTCTTTCTTTTGGATAAGTTCCGTAAGATTGATGGGTTACTCTCGGGTGATTCCGAGCGTTGAAAAGGATTACGGACGGCATAGCGATAACGCAAGGAAGAAGGGGGGGGGGGGGGGGGGGGNTTGAACCTACGAGTGTTTTTGACAGCAGCACAACATCGAGCGTTGAAAAGAATGTTCGAGATCCTAGTGAAAAAGAGGCTCCCCGATTGAATGACATCCAACGAGCTCCTCGATAACAACCCACAACAAGTTGTACACCCACTACTAATGGGGGGTCTTTTTTGGGATTGTTTTTATGATTTTCTACCACCTCTTTATTCGGGTGTCTGAAAACTGGAATACACTTCCCACTCTGAATAGAACTTAAATCTTGCTTCAAGTAGTAGAAAGGGAGCTAATTTACTAATTGGCTTCATTTTTTGACAATTTGTTTCCAATTGATTTAAGACAGAAGCATGGGGAATGTGAGAAAAAGGTGGCTTTTTCAGTTGCTCGTGATATTTCCTGGGAATTAGATGCTACCATAATCCGGCATTTTCCCAACGAATGTTTTAAATAGTTGTAAATGCTGTTTGATTCACATAAATAACACTCGCATTAGATTAAATGTATAGCAAAAGTAACAGAGTAAAGCGGTGCGGGTTTCCGGCATCGTACTCGTAACTGAACTGTAGTGTAAAAATAGAAATATAGTGGTTTTTTAATCATATAATAACAATAATATAGTACTGTAATAATCACGTCTGCCACCCATTGTCCCGCTAACAATCGATTTCCTCGAATACGAGTCATTGAGGTCCCTATTGGTCCCTGTCGCGAGCCAGCTTAGTTTAATAGACCCTCTTCGCTTGACCAGCACGGATCATATCTTCAATATAGGAGAATAATACTATTACCATATAGTACTAATAATATTATATCAATAGTAGTAGTAATAATAACAGCAACAGCAATATCACAAGTATGTAGTTGATTTTCAAACCATGCAGTACCTGAGTCGTGTGGGTGATATGGGTAGAACTTCGACCTGTGTACGACATTAATCTCCCCGATTGTTTACTTGGTGAGTATGGATCGGTCAACCCGAATTTCCAGTGAAAGCTCCCACTGAAAGGGTGTAAAGTTAGCTATAAGTTCAAAATGGTACCCTCAAAGTGCGTGCTAAACGGCAAGCACCTCATCGGTTGAGGGTGGATATCGATTACTTAGTGCACGCTTTGGGATTTCATCAGAGCCGACCCAATTCATCATATCTTTCTTCAATTCCTTTTATGTCTTAATGGATATATTCATCAAATTGTCTTTGATGCCCACCGACCGGCCCCTTTTCGTCATTACGATCCGTTCAATGCTAAAGATTTATATGTGAACGACGATGTTCCAATTGACGATTTCCTTCCGTTTTTTTTAAGATGGCGAATTCAAATCGGAAGCATTACAAGTACCGCACGATTGCCGTTTTTCTCATGTGAATTCCGGTGAATCTTGCAATGATTACCAGCATTGGCGTGACGAAGCCACAAAACAATGCTCCATCAAGGTCTGATAATGATGATTCAATTGCTATTGTTACTTTATGAATCACTATTAACTACTTACAGTATCTACTTTTCAGACATTCAATGGAAAACCTATGTCTGTACGATCGTTTGCTGTACTCGAACCATGCAGTCTCGATCTTTTCACTGGTGTTGAATTTGTATGCTGTCCATCAATTGGTACGGACTTTTTTGTAACTTGTTAAAAGAGCAGTTTTGACGGTTTCATAAGTGTGGTCCTTTACAAAACTTCGATGATACAGTACTTGTGAAGCAGTAATTCAATGACATCATCGATTACGAATGTACGTAATTGTGTTGCAGTGTTCTGTGNGCAAACATCGCGTCGAACCCCACATTTGCTTTAGCACTTGCAGGGGACCGAGTGGAGACCTAGTGGGAGGGAGACGAATAAAGAGAACAGTAAAAAGCAGTAATGTCGAATTTCGAGCCTATGGTTTATTGCCGAGAATTCTCGTTACCTTCGAAGTGCAGAAAGATCGGGAAGGATTGAGGATTTTTCTGGAGACCCGAAGAAGTAGCAAAAATTTTCAGACAAGATCACGGTCCCAGTGGTCGGTGCTCGAACAATCGAAAAGGCGAACAAGCTGCCCAAAGACGAGGAGGATGATGATGACTATGATGAGGAATACGATGAAAGTGATGAAGGTAATTAAGTAGTAATTACTGCCAAAAACTTCTTATAGAGCAGCCAGCGCTATGCTCTAGAATGATGTCTAAAATTCCAGAGTCGTCTGACGAGAAATCGTCTGAGGGTCAGGATCCCTATTTCAAGAACAAGGACCCTGCTAATGAACATGAAAACTTCAAGGATGCCGAAGATCGACTAGACAAGAAACATCGGGAGAAGATTGAGAAGGTCAGTCTAGAACTCGTTGTCAAGGATGTATAGCTTTACTTGTATGCTGTATTTTCGCATAACTTTGGTAGAGCGCATATGGTGCGCTATGACCTAGTTTCGCTCGCAGTAAGCGCGGTGGCACCTCCTGACCCTGTCCATGAGTGCCAGTTGTCTCGTACACAGAGGAAGATGATCACAGTTGGGTGAAAATTGAAAGGCGAACAACTTAAATTGCTGATTACTGCCCGGTACTGCTATGGAATTTCTAATTTGATCATTTCAAATTCTTTCTCAGCTTTTTGTAAGTGATTCGCAATCTTATGTTCGACCTGCCGCTTTCGTTGTCCAAAAAAAGGATTTCAGCGGTTTGCTTGTCCTAACCAGACCTTTCACTTCACGAAAATAACGGTCAGGTGAATGTCCCTTGGTAACCATTNAAGTTGAGAGAATGTTGTGCCCTTTGTTCCCTAGAATCATTTATAATTAATGAAGATGATGTTCTCAGTATCGATTTCCCTACTTCGCCGGAGGGAATGTGCTTGTGCCAATACTGCTAAGGTTACTTGCCGCATTGACCTTTGCCTGACCTTTGAGGTTCATTCTCTTCTGTTCGGGTTGTATTCCATGGCTGGAATATGTTGGTCTTTGCTGAGTATGAGCATCAAATGGTCATGGTCTCTAAGACAGACCGAAGTGAACTTCAGGGGAAATGGAGCGTTCCAGTTGGATCCCGTCACGCGAATGTTTTGTATCCGCCAAGGTCTACCGGATGTACAGTACACTGCACGTGAGCGATTGAAAAGAGCACTCAAAGAGCGCCGTCAACAAAAACAATATCATCAGCAAACATCACCTGCTGGATCCTCTTACCGTAGTGTAGATCCCACAGGGCAATTCAGTTTATCGTGAAAAGCCCGAGGACGGCATAACGCTGAGAGGAAACAGCGTCAATTTTCAGATTTCAGAAACTTAGCAGGTCTGCTCCTCGACAGTTTCTAGGAGATTGCGTGGATTTGATATCCGGTGGGACAGTTTGAATGGACTTTTAATTGTTCTCTTCCGTTTTCCTTAGTGAAACAGCTATTTGTGTGGCCGAGAGTGAAGTGCAGAGAGACCTTGAACCCCGTGGATAAAAGTGCAATCAGATGTTGGCTAAACAATATTGCACTCGACCATTTTTTATGTGTCAGAATGGTGTTTGGTCCAAGCTGGCCGTGCGGAACAAGCCTCTACGTGTGGTGGGTGATGTCCGAAAATATATGAGCTTCCCTTCAATCGTTGGTCTGACGAACCGCTTCGGCCACTTCTGATTTGAGAGCTAGTCATTCTCTCTTCTCTCATGGGTCGTTGAACGAAATCGGGCATGACTGGACCCGTGATGCTTCTGTGAAGAGCAGTTCTTATAGGGTTCCAATTAGAAACGTCTGCCCTCTTCAAGTATTCAGGAGTGGTGGTTTTAAGATGAATGTCGACAATTGCTCTGTTGATGCTCACCAATTCCTCGGCCGTCGCTTCCCGTGTTTTTCGGGTTACGTAATCACGGAAACTCGTTTTCTACTCTCAAGCGTCTAGACCCATTCACGAAGGCGGTGCTGTTCGCTGGCTGGGGTTATGGAGATTCCAGCCTCGCCGTTAAGCCAATATAAAAAGATTGTCAACACTCAGCCACCCGCAGGGGCCGTCGCATCAGACATGCTCATGGCCTGTGAAATCTTACCGACGATGGGAATGTTTCTATTTTGTTCAACAGACATCAATGATTCATTGAAAAAATCCTCTCCGTGAAACCTTTTGTCTGTTTGAAATACATATGTCACGTGCATCGGGGAACCCGACGCTTCCCACAGAACGAGTTTGCCATCTATGGGCAACTATCCAGACGATCAAGCCACACCCATCGTAAAAGACAGCCATGGTCTTCTGTTGGGTCGTAGAAACCCCTTGTTAGGCTCTCCGATTCTAAGAGAGCCCTTAACTGGTTAGCACAAAGCATGAAAGGCCGAGGATTGTTTTTGAGGGCTCTGGGGGCCGTTTGAGGCGAATACGAAGTATTTTACAAAATGTTGTATTATAAAAAGCAATGGGTGGTCCCTACCTAAGATTTCAGACTGCCTTCTTCCGCATACTTTCACCTTGGATGCCATTTGGTCCATTCAGCGTCGTTGCAGAGACTCCGAGGGTTTCTGTTGCCTCCATTTAGTGGTCACAGTTAACTGGGGATACAAGTTTGGGTGCTTCAGTGGAAAAAAGTTTTCCACCTTGGCCACCCATCTGTTTGGAACTAGCTATTCATGCCGTAGCCCCACTATGGACCTGCCCTCTACGTGGCTTCTGGTCTCATTCAACAGGTCATTGTTCAGGCCAACAGCGAGAATAACTCTAAGGAGTTACGTATTCCACCAACAATAAATAAGTTATAAGTAGTGGGACAGTCGTAGAAACGAGTTTTCATCTGAAATTCGCGAGTACTTGAAGGAGGTTCTGAAAACAGCAATTATTCCATTTGAGAACATTTGGTTCAGTGCAAGTACTGATCTCTCCCAAATACTTTCAAATCGGTGCCGGCAGGGTGGCCAAATATGCCGCCCAGCCTTGAAAATTTATTTTGGTGAAGGGCCCCGGTACATGGCTCAAACCGGCGGGGCGACAAGGTCAACTAGTGAGTTTGCGTAGACTTCATTGGAGCTAGTGTATCTGCCAGTGAGAATACCCATGCCCATAGCACCTCTTCTGCTTAGCAATAAACTACAGGAATTACTCGACATTTATCCAGTAGCCTTTGAAATTTGTGGCAGTGAGGAACCCATTACATTAGATCGACACTTGTTTGTTTTGTTGACGATTTATCCCCAAAGTAGGTCGCCAGGTGACGGAATAAATGGCCCGCCCTAGTTAGGTTTCCTTATGGGTCTAATCTTATGTGTCCACTGTTGACAAGGTAGCGGTCGTGATCGCCGCGCGTGGTGATCCGATTTAGTAGTTGTAGGCCGTTATGGTCGTTGGTAGAATTGGAAAGATTTGGGGCCAGGTCCCAAAATTGCGGAAATAGCCTTTTCAAGCTTTTTCTGTGTTTGGCATGTCATCTCGGACAGCGGAATTCCCATACTCAACGATTGTTCGTGAGTCCGAGTCCCATTGTAAACACTACTTCGAGAGTTTTGAAGGCGAGGAGCTCAAGTAGTACTTGGCTGGCAATCGCTTCAGCCCTCGGTGGTTCGAAGAGTGGCTGACCCAGGGAAAGCGATGGATCCTGCAAAGTTACTCAGGCCTGTTCTACGGCTTTCTGGAGTAGCAATTGTTCTGGCTTCAATAATAAGGAGCATGCTTGTCGTTTTAGGGGAAAAGCCCGTCAGTACGGTCAAAGATCTTCTGTTACTCGTCCGAATGGTGGCCGATTTCTTCCTCGTTGGGGTTCTTACCTCCCACGTCATGGTCGCATTCTGAAGAGCTTTTTAGAAGTGAACATCAGACACAATGGCTTGAAATTCATCAAATACATGAGATAGTCAACGAATGTGATCTGTTTACACTTCCCGTAAATGAGGCATCTTCCCAGATGGACAAATATGGTCCTCCCGCTCCCCAGATGAACAAATAGGACTTTCTTTGCGGCAGACTATATCCGCATAGAAAGTACATTTAACTAATCCAAACGCCTAGCCATGAAAATCACAAAGTATGGTGTTGTTCCTGTTGCTCATGGTTAACCCCACTGGTCGGAAGTTTTGCCAGAATGATCCCTGAGATCAGCCTTCTGAACTGAGCTTTTGACTCATTTTCTCTAAGAGATTTGGGAATCCATTATTTTGGGAGGGTCGAACAAGCCTTCCTTATGAAACCAATATTTATGTTGATTCGGTACCTTTGTATATTATTTTATGTTATTTTTATAGGTCATGAAGGAATGGGGAGAATTGGAAGCTCGCTATCAGCAGATGAAAACAAAGGATGCCAAGGGCGCTGAGTCGTTCAAAGTGTCAATGACAAATCGTTTCCAGAAGGTGATTGATTACTCTACTGGGATTCAGAGGATAACATTACGGAAAACTCTTGAGTTTGGGATGCTTTCGAACCGGTGTGGGGATTTTCTTCACCGAAATGAACTTTATTTACAACTCATTCCGCAGTGCCTCTGCATAATTAGGTCCCTCCATGCAAATGATTGGGTTCATTATTTTTTCCAGACAAGGGGGGGGGGGGACGGAGTCATGCTGCTCCGGTATTATAACAGAAAATCTTTATAACTAAGAATTTAACTATAAGTTCGGTTTTAAGTTGCCTACATTGCAGACTGTTGCATCGTTGGAAGATGAGCACAAACGACTCAAGAAGCAGCTTGAGACCACCCACGAAGAACGTGTACAGGCTATCCTTAACGAGAAGAAGAGAACTGTGAGTAATTCTCTCTCTATTTCTTTTCATTATTCACAGGTTTCACTTTTTTTAGGCCACCCACGAATACCGTCAAGCACTCGCCATGCATGACAAATCAGCCAACAAACATCACGTGTTGAAAACACTCAAGGTCACTAAGTCATTAATGAGTCATTAATGAACTGTATTAACAATTTAACTATTACTGCGTACCACTTAATATGTGGCTTATTTATAACTTTGAAACGCGTGTCCTTCTAGACCTACATCCGATCGGAGGAGAAGGATCGTATTCACACCATCAACCGATACCGCCACCTTCTGCGTGTTGATCAGGCTGAAGCTGCGGCTTTCAAACCAACAGTCCTCCACAGACTCAGGTAGATCGATCAATAATTCAGAGATATTACGAAAAGCGATCAATAGTATTGATACTGTGAGCTTTTAGGTACATCGACCTGCGTATTAATGGCACCTTGGCCATGCTACGCGACTTCCCAGACCTCGAGAGTCAAGTGCGTCCTATTGCAGGTAGGATTTTCTGTTCAAGTATTCTTACCTGTTCTCTTATCCGCAAAAATACAGTCCCCACGGGTGTGGGTCTAGAGCGACCAACAATCGGGAGCCCCTCAGGACGTTCTAAACGGGCGTGAATGAGTAGTTAGCCACCTGGGATAAGGCGGCCCCTCTATCACCGTTCAACGTTGAAACTGCCAATCCATCAGAGGGGTNCATTGCGATCGGGTCCCCTTAAAAACTACCAGATTTCACTTTGATTTCGGACAAAAGAGAACGACGATTTACCAAAGCAGCTTATGCCCTTAAAGACAAGAAGGGGGAGGGGCTGAGGCTCAAAGTAGCCCTCAAATGTGAAAATTTTTTTATAACTAAGTATAGAGCTTCTGAATCGAATAAAGGTGTATAAGATGTTGACTTTGTAACTCCTCCAACTCAAGGGGCGAGCGATTTACCGCTGAAGGGGATGATGCTACAACGTTGAGTGACTCAGGGCTCTGGAGATTTGCAGTCCATACCCTGAATGATGGGTTTTTGATTTAATTAGGCTGTCGTATATGGGTGACACACTCTGATACGGACTTGATAGCATTCGAAAGAATAGCGGGGCTATTCCCATTTCCGGATTCCTACGCATGCTCCCCGCATCCTCATTTCCGGTCCCTCTCGTTAGATTCCATCCTGCAGCCAAGTCTTGGAAAATCTGGAATCAGATTTTTCTGCTCCGGTGGAGCGAGTGCCCGCACAGCAGAGGGATACGTTCTGCCTACTCCGGGAACATTTCTAACCAGGAAGAATTGCTCCCCTCAATGCCTAGGTGGTACAGATGAGGGTGGGAGTTGAGGGGTCATTACAGAACAACAAAGAGAGGTGGACGGTCCGAAGTTTCCAGTGTACATGAACTTGGAGCTAAATTTGTTTGGTATTTGGGTGAACTCGTTACGCCTTTGACAGTAATAAAGTCAAGAAGTAATGAAAATGACGTCATCAGGAGTCAGAAACTGGTTTTCTACCCACGTTGCTTTTTAAACGTTATTTCTGATAAAATAATTTGATATCTCAGTGGCGTACTGGTCTGACCTCCGACGTGAGAACACACCTGAACTGTCTGACAGCGCTATAAATGCCCTCAATTCGCTCGACAGTGACGCGAAAAACAAGAAATTGGTGGATCTGTACAGGGTACTTTATTTTTGTAGAATTTATCGAATAAAAGATTCAAAATGGATAAATGCTATTCAAGGAAGCGTACGAGAAATTCCATCCCAATGCTAAGCTTGATGTGAAAGCACCTCCAACAACCACAACAACCACGACCACGACCACCCAGAAGACTACCACACAGGAGCCAGCGAAGGTGACTTTTCAGTGGTTTTACTTTAAGAAATTGTAAGTAGTATAGTAATTCAATGGGAAAGCTCGGATGTGTAGGATTTGAATCTGCAGGGATAATATTTGTTATTATTTGTGTTGATTTAGCTTCTGTCCGAGGATTCCCACGATTCTGAGGAGGATGACGATGAATACTATGAGGATGAGGATGACGAAGAGGTCAAGAAGAATCCCATCGTAAAGAAACCCAAGGTACGCACTTGAAGTGCCTTTACTTTACTTTTACTTCAATTGTTTTGTAAAATCACTGGTTTTTCTTGTAGGTAATCGAATACGTGAGAAAAGAGGAAGTGAAGAAGCCCGAACCACCAAAGCTTATCGAGAAATCGGTACAAACTGAACCGATTACCATGGACGATGATTCCAATTCGGATGAAAGTGATGAGGTTCCTTTTTATTTGTTCCTTTTTTAGCGATTTTTTCATGGGAAAACAAGATGTACAATTATGATAATTTATTCGATAAAATTACTAATTAGAAACCTCTTCAGGAATCCATCAAGGAACTTCGCGTCGATATTGAACCGATCATCGAGGAGAAACCGGCATTCTATCGCCAAGAAAAACTCATTCAAACCCAGGTTCGTTCCAAGTTACATTTAGACATATGGTTAATATATTCTAAATGAGTACCAGAACTTCTTTACCAATTGGAAGTACTAGTAATGAGGTGTACCTGCCCTATCGTATTCGTCTTCTGATTGACGAATCGTTCTGTAATCGTTCTCGCTAAGACCTGAAGCCGAAAAAAGCCTATTTGACTTCCGAATCCCCATTAGGAACCAGTTTGATCCGGCTGAAAATTTTGAAAGAATATGGCCTCGATTATACTGGCAATTTACCAGTAATGTCAGTGTCTGGGCCAGCGTGAAGAACTCAGGAAATGGTTGCACTCTCCAAAGGTTCACTCACGATGTCCACTTTTGCAAAGGTCGTTCATGGAATTTAATCTCGAAAAAGTCGTGCTCAAGCCTGAAATCGACAGTTGGCAGTGGTCATCGTGAAAGGATAAATCACTAGGTAGTAATTACCATGTGCACTAAATAGTCAAGCGTATTTCCATGAATAACGCTGTCAAGTTTCTATTCAGCGCTTGCAAAAGTACTTTTGTTTGAATTGGAAAAAAGTGCTTGCTGAAAACTATGAAACGTGTAATTTCTCGGGAACTCGAATAGTTTCTGAAAGCGTGATTTTGCCCTTGAATATCTTGTAACTTGTTGCGAAAGGGTTTTTTTGATCGGTTGTGGGTAGGAGTTGATGTGATGGTTGGTCTAAGAAGTAGACCGAGTTTTCAGCACTAACAAACACATTCTGGGAAGCGCCTATCAAATTAGGACGCTGATGTTTAGCGGGAATAAAAACGAATTCGAATGGCCTCTCTGATTCGCCATAAAACGTTTCGTTTTACAGTAGAATCCGAATGGCCGCCACCCTGATTCGCCAGGGGGGGGGGGGGGGGGNACGTTATGGAGGGGTAACAGTGAGTATGATAGAAACGCGCGAAAGAATTAAACGTCTTGGGAACTTCTGGGGTGCTCATGATCCATGGTATTTTGTAAAGGTCGCAGCTGCTTCCAGTTCTGGATGGAGAGGGAGAGGGAACTGAGGGATACACGCTACGCTAAGTTGGTCTAATTTATCTCGAACAGGGGTGCTCATCCGAATACCTCACACTGCTGTGTTGTTCTGTTTTCTCGATAATAGTTGCTGTTTAGAAGTCGATGTATCAGGAGAGTGGACTGCTCTCATCCTCACAGGTGGTATTCATCGTTGCTGCTGTAGCGATTGTCTCACTAACGATGTTGGTTGCTACTGTTGTACGACGACGACGAGCACATCACGGGTTCATCGAGGTCAGTTTTTTAAAAATCAGAAATTAACAAAAACTGGTTCCAACTCCATTTTTGATTGCGTTGGGGCACGACCACATCCACCTCGTGGTTGGTGAGAGCCATTCCCCGAAAAGTTTAATTTCGTGGTCCGCAGATTTTCTACGTAGTTATCAGATGGTGAGAGGGAAGAGGCAACAGACTGTTAGGCAAACATGCCTCAAATACGGAGGGTAACAAACGATGCAGCACCGTTAGGAAGATGGGGTCAGCAGGATTTGTGAGTGATGAACAGGCATTCCAGCCGAGACCCACATTCTGGGTTACTGTATCACGAAGTCTGCGGACTTTTTGTTCATTTTTTTCCCAAAATCTGTTCAGTGGGCTTTAAAAAAAGTGTGTAATACTTGTATGTATTTTCAGGTCGACGTATACACTCCTGAAGAACGTCATGTGGCTGGAATGCAGGTGAACGGCTACGAAAATCCGACGTATTCATTCTTCGACAGTAAGGCTTGAACTCGCGTATCGGAACCAACTGTGTATGATGATTTGCACAACAACTCTCATGTTATTTCTCTTACATAAACGAGCATTCCCCCTTTGATGAGTGCAGCCTGCTCCCCCGGTATTTTCTTGTGTTTCATCTGGACCCTAAACAAAACCCCGTACACCTGCTCTAATTACATGTGTCGTGTGTAAACGTCGTCTGATGAAGACGACGACATCTCATCCACTCTAACGATTCATGCTCGCCATCATTCTGACCTGGTATGATCGTGGGATTGTCGTCTGGACCATCATCATCATCATCGTCATTTGTTACACTGTCAGTGTGTTTTCTAAATCTCTCTATTATCTCAAATTATCTCTCTTATCCCACTCTACTCCCTTAATTCATGTGGTACAACCACGAATCATACTGGTTCGCGACAGAAATGTACGTCGTACGTTCATTAGGATCAGAAGATTGATACCCACCCCCTACCGTCGTCCATCCACAACCCAACCAGAACCCCACGTATTTTCACACACACATACAAATACAATTTAAAAAAAAAACTTTCGGAAACAAAAGTGTCGCGGTCATACTTGTACAGTTAAAGAGATCAAAGTAATAATAGTGGTATTGTGTGTGTTGTGCTACTTACTAACAAGTTCCTTCTTCTTTTTGATTTTACTGAGGACAACAATGTTGTGATGTTCGAAATTTAATCCGAAACAAATATTACATGTTACATTGTTGCGATTAGCGCTAGAGCCTTATCGCAGCATATGCAGCATCACGTGATATCTATTGTGTCGTATATTAATGTGTTTTATGTGTTTGATCGTCGTCCACGTCTATATGTATATGAAATATGTTCCTTCCATTTTTTTCCTACAGTAATCCTCATAGTTCCCCCCACATACATACATTCACATAGAAAGCAAATGCACTTAGTTTTTTAATGTCGTTACTGTTTTTTATGATAGGTAAGCTTCTAATGATCATCTCACTGTCGTACTAACTAGTTACATTCAGCTTTGTGTTGTTCCGCTCCAGATTGTAGCGATAAATGTTTTCTTTGTTTTGTTATGTTTTACATCGTGTATGTAGCATAATATTCCCATCAGCTTCAGGGAAATATGAAGGCACAGAACGGGGGCGATTTCAGGGGCCATTCATAGCAGAAATAATATGTTAATAGGGATCTAAATTTCTACCGTAATTCTAGGATTACTTCATACTATTAGTGCGTGACCAGTACATATCAATTAACGACATCCCACGACTACTTGTACAGTAATGCGATGGTAGGATGTAGCAATGTGGGTCCGTGTTGGATTTTTGTTAATGTCCATTCAAACGGATGGACTTGTAGTCGGAGGGTCAGGGGTAAAAAAAAATAAATAGTAAAGTAAATAAAATGCTAAAAATGCCTATAAAGTAGCTGATTCCTAGCTGACGAATAGTCAAAAAACTTGGACTACCATTCAGCTGTTTTGCTGTCCTACCAGATGACTACAGCCCTTCTTCAGATTCTAGCGCGGCCATGAAAATTCTTCAAAATGCCAGGGTCTGATTTTAGCCCTAAATGTCTTACTCTTCCTAGGTAACCATATAAACTGGGAGTTCCCTTCAGGATTGTACTGTCCCATACTCATAGGTTGGTATTGAAACCAGTTGTCGTTACGATCACTTTGAAATGCATTTCAGATAATCACAAATTGGTTGGTTTTCTTAGGAAAAGGGTTCCCATCGAGGTTTGACCGAAGCGCTCTTTGAAATTGGCCCCACATAGGGAAGGTGGAATAAAAGACATCCAGGGAAGCTACTTCATTGTTTCCGACGGATTCTTCGTACGTAACATTTTAATTGAGATTGAGAGATTCTCGATCCCATCGTGCATTTATGAATAATACACCCTAGCCGAGTCGTCTATGCATGAAACATCTTTATGAGCAATAAATGTAAGCAATAAAACCGATCGATTCTTTCTTGATGCCCTTGTCATGTCTATTCGATTTCTATTCATAATCGTAGGGCATCCAAATGCGCCAGTAGAAGGACAAATGCAGCGAGTAATCAAATTTACTTGAAAGAAAGATGAAAACGTACTCAGCAGTAAATGGATTAATTTGGATGGACGTAGGTTGCGGTCATAGGGGCAACTCCCACTCTGTGTACAGGGGCGGTCAAGGAATTCATATACAGCGTTAGCAGTCTTCTTGGAGTTCACCTTCGATGGCATACCTGATCAACGGGATCTCCCTGAGTGGTAGTAAAGGGGTGGGGACTCCGGTGTTCAAAATTAATATGTTTACAAAGAATTAAATATTAACCAGCACATGGAACGTAAATAACTTAGGAACAAGATGAAAGACAACTTTTTCGACTTATCCGCTTCGATGGTGACGCTCCAAAATCAAGTTTTGCAATGTTTTCTAGTTTACTATACCGCCCCTATTCTCTGCATAATCAAAGGGTTTCCATCAATTTTAACAGATCGCAAAATTTCAAGCTACTAGTAGATATAAGACTAATCAGTAGTTTTGTATATGAAGATTCTGTGCACACTACATTGTAAATGTCTGTTGAGTACCAGTAATTTCACTGTGTTCCGTAGAAATTTTGTGTAGCAGAAATGATAACTGCGTACAGGTGACGTCGTAAACTCCTCTGCTCATTTGGAATCTTCTGTCCTAGCGTCTTGAAGCATGGAAAAGAAACTGTAAAGAGCTCCCGGAGCACATCTTATTACATATTCTGTTCAAAATTCCAGTATGAGGAGGCAATCTTCTCGAATGCACAGTCATTTTCGCTCAAACGAGTCAATAGCCTCTGTATTCTCATGGATTTGCTACTGCATGATTACTTGTAAATCACTCACTAGGTACGATCAATCAAGCACCTATTGTATAACTGTCGAGGCTGAACAGTCATAATCATTATGTCAGATTTCTTCGACATACACTTGACCCAACGGATCAAGCGCTTAAGGCCTACGACGAGCAATTTGATGACAGGACATAATCGTTCGTAATAAGGACCGTATGGGTCGGGAAAAACGCATTCAGCCCACAATAAAAAGTGATTCCATAATCAACACAACAATAGAATGAGTCCCGAACTCTTTGAACATCGTATATAAAGCGTTCCATGTACAGAATTTACAAGTTACTTGAGAAAATTTGTTTTGACAGAAAAATGATACAGGTTATCGAGACGGAACTGTTGAAACTAGCTTTTGAAGAAATGTCTTACAGATCGCAAATCGGCTTGAGTATTGACTACCATAACTTTTACTAAATATGTGGGAAGCGTACAAATCAAAACGATTAAATACCCAAAGCGAATGATGACTCATCCAAGGGGAAGAAACGGAATGAGTTTTCTCATTTTTACCCCTGCAAATTCGTACCATGATTTCTTATGTCGTGCGCATGATCAATATATGTGCACACATCTGCTACCAATAATTGTACAATTTTTCAACAGAGTTCTGTTCTGACTTACTATTAGTTTGTAATAGGCTTCTTAGGATTCTTGGCAGTTCTGAGGTTGCTGCTAGTATGTGGAAAGGACTAGTCTCCAAAGTGTATGGGTTAACAGTAGCAAAGTATATTTTTATCTTGAAAGACATGTTTGGTCATTGGCGTGCATTCATGGAAAATGCGAACTTAGATTCTGCTCTGTTGATTGAACAAATCCTGCTGAGGCTGAGTGATGTACTCTTCCTTTGTCGTCGTCTTAGTCGTGGTTATGGGTGGAGCAGTATAAATTTCGTACTGTGGCCGTGAAGTTGCTTGCACTGTTCGCTTCTTGTACTGTTTTCCGGTAAAGGGATAGTTCTGAATGAAAGCAGTGTTAGTTGGTTCAGGTAATGTATCTAATAAGGGTATGTGATTTTCTGTAAAAAACACTAAAAGAAAGTCGTACTCAATGCACTTAAAGATTAAGTTTCACTCTCAGCACCACCAATTCCATCCATGATCCTGAATTTGTTCCCTTCCCTTAGACAACAATTAGCGTTGTCTCACGTTTTGCTAGCGTTCGATTGAGCTGTTTTCTAGCTCAAGACTTGAGCTACTTTCATAAGTTCATTCTCTTCATTCGCACCGCCCACCTCCCCGCTATTAACGCGGCGCATAAGTGACGCGCGCTGTAATCGATACCTATATGTAGCTAGGGTGAACGCATTGTATTCACCTGGTTGAATTCAAATGACGAAGAATTCGAATTGAAGACTGGTGAGGGGTGTATATGCAACGCACATGAAAAAAAGGAGCCTGGGAAGTTAGAGTGATCACTGATGAGTGGCACACTAATAAAGTAGTATTTGAGCAGTTACCAGTAAATAAGAGCGAAAGAGGATTAATGCTCGAAGAAATTCGTACAGCTAGCGTCTTCTGGAGTGGAGGCAGAGCGGTGCACTATAACTGGCATATCGCCTACGACGGTTGCATCGCTAGAGCAACCAGCGTTTCCCATACCGCTGGCATTTCTACGTGCGGTTCCTATTTTTTGAGGATTTGAGAGCATTTGGGGCCAAGATCTTCTTTTGTACACTGAAAACACGTGGTATTTCTAAAATACGGTACCGTACCTCACGACGTTGCAGCAGGAAGTCACCGATGAATAGAAGAGCCATCAAGAACTCGAATACCTGGAGGAAATAGCCATCTCATGAAGTTCCGACAGAAGTTTAAACTATTGCTATGATAACTGAAACCGCAGTCACAGGAGCACAATTACTTAGATCAATTACATTCGATTTTGACACCACTCAGGTTTAAAGAATGTGTTCTACTGGAAATAGCACTCTATGAGTCTTGCTTTTACTGTTTTGGAATTATTTTCAGATATTGTGAGTTCTCCAGATGACGTCTCCACTTAAGAACCTCAAGGCCACTACATCGAGCTCGAAATTCCAATTCTTTATGAGTTTGCGAGAGCTTGCATATTTACTGCATCGATTCTCTGTTACACAGCATAGCACCACACCAGTACATTACATAATTCGATAAGATTTTTAGCTATGACGTACTAGTAATAAGATTGACAGCAGCGATAGTTGTGCAGAGAAAGGCATCTATTTTGTATTGGGTGAGTGTGAGGGGGTGGGTCAGGAGATGTCGAGTAGAGCGAAAAGCAAGAGCAAGAGCTCTTTCATTTGCTATTGGATTCTCGATAGTTTAGACTGATATAGGGTCAATAATCGAGAAGCCATAGCAGGCAAAAGATCGCTTCTCGTCCACTGTCGACTGCAGTTCAGAAGTCAACTCTTTTGTTTATGGGTAAAGGACGACTAACCACCCATCACAGTAAGCATTTACAAACGTATTATAAAGCACATAAACTCACTGCTGCAGCTATCCACTGCCCTTTGATGTGAAATTTACCACGTCCTTGATAGTTGACCTGAACTTTACAATTCAAATAACTTTTTATGAAAGCTTCAAAGGTTGATCCCGAATTTGCAGGCCGGCAACATTTGGTAAAGTGTTGCTATGGGGATTAGGTTTAAGAATCGGACCCTCATTTTTGGATAAAAAACCTGTGTTTTAAGACCTACGAAGAATGCGTTGGCTGACAAAGTGCTGGGCACGGTGAAGTGATTATGTCTATCACAACTGAGTGACTAGAATGTGGTCATTCTTGACAATTATCCAGTACAGTCTTTACAGCTTGAGAAGGTACGCTGGTCGTGTCTAAAGCTGTGGAATACGGTCGTCATGAGGTTTCTGAGGGATAGTCGGGTTCTTCTGATGTGATTACGATCCCATATCTCTAGTTGCTATTTTCATATTTCCGATGTGTGGTAAAAAGTTCACCGGAAACACTCCAGCAAGGGAAGTTCTTACAGCGTTTCCTGCGACCTTTCCTTAATGAGAGGTGATTGATGGGATTTCATTGTTCACGCCGCATCGTTCTTGAACACTACGCTAAAGAGCATCTTTTGCTTGTGTCGGGATCGAGTTCAATACACTCATTTCCTTTGCCGATACAAGGCTGGGGTAGAGCCTACAGAAGCATTATAATGCACAAGACCCATCATCTCTTTTTCATTATCCTCAGGGTGAGGTAGCAGACCCTGCTATACTTCTTATCAGACGATTTGGTCCGACCCTGATGAGTTTCTTTATGACAATGGCCCCTTACCTATTTTTCTTCCTTCCAGGTTTTTCCTGATGACATCGAAGAACCCCAGAGGCGATTTAAATGGAGTTCCCTGATCCTCCCCCGGGTAACCCCATGAAATTTAATCATGGGTATCAGTTTCCCTCTTTCATACCTAATTCTGTTGCTGTTTTGTTTACCAAGCATTTCCTAATTACAGTTCAATCACTTACATCTTCTTGATTTGCAAGAACTGCCATCCATGTCCCTAATATACCAGCAATAATGAACAGAATGATTCCCAGAGCTGCGTAGAGACGTTCCTAACAAAGTATAAGCGAAATCTATGAATCTCAAATTTCCTGATATATAATACTAGATAGTAACAATCATAGCAGTAAACAACAACAAAAGTAAAATAGCTTTCAAACGAACCACTCCCAAAATGGCGCTTGCATAGGTAGTCCTGTGAATGTTGAGACCGTAGGCTATCAGTATAAGTACACAGATTATCGACATCAGTAACAAAATCAGAAGTACAAAAAGCTGAAAAGAGCTGAAGTTGAAGCTGAAGAGTATAAACCTAATGTGGATCAATGTGTCGCATTTAATTCTCAACTTTGAAGAAAATTGTAAACCAATGCTTTTCATAGGGTTCGAGTCCCGTCCGAGACTGATGTTTTGTTGATAATACGAAAACCTGGTGAGCTTTTTCATAGAACTTGACAAAGTACAAAATTAAAATTTAATGAGGTCTTGGTAGTTCAAAGGGAAACCGTAGATGTGCAGGTGATGAGAGAGATAAAGCTAGCATAACTCAAGGGCATCTTGCTGGTGCTGGTGACGGTTCATACTCTTTTCTCCCAAATTTTCATGCCATACTGACCGGCGGAATTTCGTTTCCTATGGAATATGCTGGTAATGATTCTTTTACTGGATTAAGCAAAGAAGACTGATGGAAACACTTGGAGGATTGATTCTTATGGGTTGACCCAAATTCTCACCAAGGAATTCTCATAAACAGATGAGCGTTCTTGTATCATCATATTGTCATCTAGAAATTCCGAAGTACAAAAGCCATGCAATCTCTTTGAAATCAAAAGAATTTGAGACTTAGTAGATAAAACAGTATGAAATTCTTACAAGCAATAGGCACTCGAAGGGAAGTATGAGAGAATTCGACCTCCCCAGGCCAACATACGAATTGGCCGTCACAGAGCCTTTTGTTCATGTTAGCATTGCTTTTAAGATGAATCGTGTTGCAAAATCCTCAACAATTCAGCCGGCTCATTCCTCTGTCTTCACTTAAGGCATTCTTCGCGTTCAATCGGCTCCATACTTGTCGGTACACCTAGCAGTCTAGTGGATGCGACCGGTGTCGTGCATTAGGAACGAAATGGTCGCGTCGCGGTGAGAGGGGCGTCGCGCGCGAAGGAATGTAGCAGGATGCAGCAGTAGGTAAGAAATACGGGACCAAAAGTACTAATAGTAGAATTATGCACAAAGTAATGATCGCATATCGACTGAGCTGTATGAAGAAGGCTAGAGCTGTAATAACGGCAAATGAGTGGTCCGCGACAGCCGCGTGCGGCGAATCGATTGCCCAAAATAGTTCCTAACGCCCGTCTCCCGGATGCCACATATCTGAGAAATCTCGAACTATGTGGATGTGTTTATTGAACTCATCAAAAGAGATGTGGAAAAAGGTATTTACTGAGAAGATCGAGAAAAGCCGGAAGTATGGGCGACCACAAACGGCCGTTCGCCTACCAAAGGAATCCCTCCTTCGAGGGTATTGCTCGAAAGGATACCACAGTGGCGCATGACCTGTTTAGAGTCCTTACTATAAAAAATACTGTAGTCCTACTACCGCTTTCCAGACCTGTGTTGGGCCCATTGTGGAGTGCGGCACCACTGTTTTTAACCAGGATAAAGCCAAATCCATCCTAGCCCTTGAGGAGTTCAGATCTCGTTCACTTGAAAATTGATGATAAGGGCCTTCGGTTTTCTATACGATTGCATACGTCCTAGTAAGGAAAGAAACAAAAATTTCCAGCTACACACCCTTTCGTATGAAAGAACTTTGATCTCATTCTACTTCACAAAATTCTATATGGTCATTGCGGCTTCGAACATGATCAGTTTTGTTCTGAAGGGTCCACGGTTACCAAAGGATACAGCTACCAGTTAATGGGTTAGAGTACCTGATCGTATGTCATTTATTTGAATCCTACAAATCAGTTCTTTTTCTTTTCGCTTTTATTTATTTTTCTTTCCTATTTCGTCAGCTTTCGCTGATTGTTTTGTTTTCTTTGGTCTGTTAGTATCACGGTACTATTTCAATTATTTCACATGAATTTTAGCTAATGTAACAAATGTAACTATATACTTACTACTAAGCCACGCAACAGTTACAGGCACCGTCTTTTTGAAAAGGATAGCGAAACATTTATGTATTTCTCTGTGATTGTTCAAGCAACTGGTATTAATCCTAGAATGGGAACTCAAAGGAGCGCCGAAGCGAAACTGTTTCCAGCCACTAATCAACGTGAGAGAAAAGATCTACAACTCCATGAAATTCACTTTATGACAACAAAACGTCCCTTGCCTCGATCTTTGATTGTGTTTTCGTCTTAATTTCCAGACTTACAAGCCCTCACTCGTGTTCCAATAAGTATCAATCGTACGTGTTTACTTTTACTACTGTCTGTATGCAACTGTCAAAATACATACGGTTAAAACTTGTTCCCAAGGGTTCCGAAACACTTTCTCATCCAATCTCGTTTGATGCTTAGAAATAACAGTATCCTGGGGACAAAAATAAATTAGGATTCATTATGCTTGCACGGTTGCAGCCAAGGCGTTTTGAAAAAACCCCGAGATGATTTTTCGGCCCCTGTTGCCCTCATCAAGGTTTTTTCCCAAACAAAAGAGTCTTCGATAAGGGCATTTCGTGAATTGACATTTTTCGATGTCACATTTTATGAAAATTTAATTAAGTGATGATTAATTACATAATGAAATTCCAGTTCTTTCCAGAATCTTCTGCAATGCAACCCAATCCAAAAATTACCTGTCCCATAGCAGTATATCCAAAAACGTTCATGATCATCGTGCATGCATCATTACCACATGTGATCTGCACAAGCCATTGTAGTAAGAAATACATAGCCTGAATATCTGAGTTACTAGTAAACCGAAATTCATCATACAACGTTGTTTTGCTACATCAATGACTGATAAAGTAGGCGTTTTGCAGTTCTATGGTGTTAGCCGGGCTATCAGTCATACTTTGTAGTATTGATTACTTATACATAAGTTAACTTGTCAAGATAAAAAGTCTCAATCACTGTTTCGTTTGTTCTACGCCTAAACATGAACTGGGTACAAAGGTGTGTCGTGGGTGGATAAGTCTACTTTTGAACAGCTCAGGTGCGAGGTGTGTTCTTAGGTCAAGATGCGAATGTTTCGCGAGCGTAAAGGAGCACAGTGTTGCATCAGAGTGAGTTAATGCAGAACGAGCTTGCTGGCAACTTGCCAACAAATGGATGCTTGGGATCCTCGAAAAATCGCGCCGTGACCAGTACACACGTTCTGCGCGCCTCCGTAGTGTTGAAACATTACCAACAAGATATAATCATCTGAGAAAACTTACAAGTTGAAACCATCTAAGCAGAGCCATTGGATGAGATAACATCCCAGGGTTACAGTCGACCGGCTCCACCTCTATAACCTAAAACGGTCGAATTTTTGGTCTGAAAGTAATTCACTCCTTCATTCAATCTCTATTCTTGGAAAATTCTCTCGGATTGAGAATATGACTATTAGATTTCCAAACAAAGATTTTTTTCGTTGGAAAGGACATTGGCGAAATTCTATTTGTCCAACCTCATGAAATACCAAAATTTGGCTCAAAAGAAGTTACTTGATACTCGAAGATCAGGCTGCTGTTAAGATCCTCTCATTAGATCCGTGCTTTCAAATATTCTTATGCTGTTCTCATGCATTTCTAGGCTAATCAGGTCTCAAAAAGACGATAAGTCCACTCGGAAAAAGCGGAGTTTACTCAGTAAACTTACAAATCCATTCTCAGTATCCAACTTGAACGCTCAGTTTTGTATTTTCTGGAGATTTGTAGGGAATACAATTTTCGGTGAAAATGTAGTTGGGGGGGGGGCCACCCATCCGAAGGNAACGCTCAGTTTTGTATTTTCTGGAGATTTGTAGGGAATACAATTTTCAATTCAAGAAACTAAGCGCACCAATCAATCAGAGAGCTTAAAAGGAAAAAGGAATCACTCTGGCCTAGCAATCACGGCTAATTTTCAACCGGAAGGCATTTCATGAAGGGACATAAAGGGCATGACAATCGTTCTCAACCTGCTCTCGATGCCTAAGCCTTTTCTCCTCAGTCTTCTCTTGTAAGCGGCGGTAGCTTCTTACTAATTGATTTCTTGGCCTAACCGTAGCGTCACTTTCTCTTTTAGGTGACATGAACTTTTCTTGTAGCGTACACAGATTTTTCAGAGAGAGTAGGCAGTAATAAGGAGTAAAAGTAATAGTACAATGAGCATTGCGATCCGATTTCCAGGTAACTTGGTGGTTGTAAGCTGTAGATCAGCACAGAACTCTTAGCCACAGCGCCGAAGCTTGCTCTTTGCAGTTTTTTATAGATATTTGTGAAAAGCGAGTTTGGTCTGTGAGTTTCAAGGGTTCCAAGGGTAAGTAAATCAAAGCAGGGCTCATGACCAAAAGGATGAAGACAATTTTGTTCCTCTATACCCATCGAGTCCCTACCTCTGGTGGACAGTCGCATAGAAATAGGTCCTTGTTCGATCAAGTAGCCAACTATCTCATTTCGTAGCTCTGCCTATATAGCGACTGTTGGACCCGCCTTTGATAAATCTTCGTCATTTTCCCTCAAAAGTCTCACTTGTGTGTCATCTCACGAACAAAAACTCAAGCTATAATGGCTAAAAAATTGAATTGCCAGCAAGAATGGCACACCCATGATGGTCCCTATTACCTTGGAACCCGGTCCTTGGTAGGATTCGGATCGGTACCGTCACGAGGGCGGAGCCTCGCGCACACCTCGATCCTACCGAAGGGTAGACGCACCATAGTTTATTCAGCCACTATGTCATTATACATGTGTTCCTCTATAATGAATAAATTATTGTAAGACTTTTTTAAAACCTGCTGCCAAGATGTTAAATAAGTTCTTATCAACTTACGTTTCGGCGTAATCGCCTTCTTCAGAGCCTTTAAGAACAGCCGGTCGTTTGGTCGACCGCCGCTAAACTNAGTTTAGCGGCGGTCGACCAAACGACCGGCTGTTCTTAAAGGCTCTGAAGAAGGCGATTACGCCGAAACGTAAGTTGATAAGAACTTATTTAACATCTTGGCAACAGGTTTTAAAAAAGTCTATAACATCAATGCAAAGCTATGCCAAGATTCATCGAGAGTCGAACATGGATGCTTATTAAATTATTGTATTAAGAAGGCATAAATTGATACTTCCACTAAAACTCCTAGAAAATACAGATCAGTGAGTGTGCATAGATTATGGTAATGGATCACAAGAAAAACAAAATTCTGAACACTGTGTTACTCTATCACTTTTTTCTTAAAAATATTTGACCCCGAAATTGCTTGCTCTATCACTTCTTATGTACTGAACCAACAAAGGTAATAGTGGAATACGGTATGTTGGTCATTAGTCATCGTTACTCAAAAGAAGGAAAATTGTAGCCTGCATAGAAAGACACAATTGTTAACCAAAAATAATTGTAGTCTTCTCGTCATTACATATTGTAAACAATGATAGAAGCTTATCTATCGTAAGAAAAACCGTACATTCGTAGTTGTTTTATTATGAGCCGAACAGGAATCTCACAATCGACACCATCCGAGAAAAAATCATTGTCCCTCCTTCCCTCAGCCCAACCTTCATTTCCACCTAGACGCTCTATATTTTTGATGCATTTCGGAGCTTTAAACAACAATTTGCGATATGTATGCTCGGGACGATATTCTTTCTACTCAATGAAGACGTTTCGTATTTTGAGGGCAGGGCAGGCAGGTGGCGCACTATCACACACACACGGTCACAGGTTCGATTCCCGGGTCGGTACTCCCTAGGCCAACCAAATTTTCCATCCATCTCTGGTGGGCTAATTGGTCCCAGAGTCTTTTGGGAGGAAAAACACTGATGTGTACATCGGCTGCCAACCGACAGTCATCGTATAGTATACATACGCATTCAATAGGCCATTACGATTCTGCATGGAAGTCGAATGCATGGGCGCTTCCCAGAAAGGATTGATCCCCGCCCAGAACGCTATCCTTCACCCATTTTATTTTCTCTTTTCAGGAATTGTGGGTAATTCAGAGATCCGAATTTAGGATGATTAAGAGATCATGGATTTGCTCGCTGTTTTCAAGCACAAAGTAATTGATCCCCTCCCATCCGGGAATCCCTTGTCTTCTCGAGTATCGAATGCATGGAAAACACGCTTACTCCTCTCCCTCTTATTTGACGTAATGTACTTCTTATGAAAATTGAGCAAGCTTATAATGTAAACTTTTCAAGGCCAATATTCATCTTGTCTTTCATCACGGAATGAGGAAAACGGAAATTATCTGAAATTTAGGAAGCCTTCTCTGATTTCATTTGTTTGTTCCCATACTGATTCGAAATTTTTGTTAACTTTGCCACTAGATTTCCCTCTGGGAGATATCAGCAGAATTTTGGTGTTGTTTACAATCGAGTGTCGATTTCGTTACTGAAAGGAAGTTGTTGGGCGCAACTCTATTCTGGAAACAACCATGGCTGCTATGAAAGCAGGAAAAGAAAGGAAATTTAGGTAACCATATGCTCAGGGGCTTCGTTGACTGAATGAAGGGCGACAGGAGTTTTAGGTCCGGGAAGAGGACTAAAAGTCATCTAGTAAGTGGATGTTTAGACATTCCAGACCGAGCAACACAGTAGTAAATGGCTCAGACGCCTCCTACTACTACTGGTTTCGAATGATTCCGCTTGAGTGATGCAAGCTACTGCTGCAAACTATTTTTTGGACCCTTTGGCGAGAAATTGAGCCCGTCCCAGGATTTGCCTCTCTTTCCATTTTTTCATACTGCAGTGGGTGTCACATTCTTGTGTTTACTGCTATTTTGTAGAGGTGTCGGCTAAGTGGATTACGGCTATAATTGAAACATGTTGTCATGTATATCATAATAAAACCCCATTATAATCCTATTGTCAATAGCGATTCCGATTACTATATTAACAATAATATTATGCTTCTATAAACAGTATATCACCACTATTACACGGTTTTATTATCATTTAATATCGTAACATAATCCTTATATCAACAAGTAATCTTATTATAACTCTTTAATTCTGCTACGAATAATAATCATTTCAATTTATCAATAATTTGCAATAATTTGATTGCTAAGGAAGTCATTGTTATTCGCACAATTACATTAGTTTAGCAATAGTTATAACATAATACTGTCAAGATCGTACTGAGAAGATTACTAGCACAAGAAACTTTAGCTTTTTGTCAGTGTCTCCAGAATTAGATTTCAGAAACTTGCGACGCTCATAAACCCTCATAAAGACCTTAATCGAAACTGTCAAATGAAGCTGTTCAGCTATCACTTATTCTGCTTTTACTAGTATGTAGCTGGACAAAGCTAGTTGTAGGAGGGCCTCGTGCTCGAGGGGATATAGCTTATGGTGAGTTCAAAGCTGAGCGTCTTCGTAACAATCTGGTAGATGGTCATCTTCGAATTGTTCAAAAAGTTGACCAACCTGATGCCAACTGTTCAGCAACTTGAGTTTAGAATGTCTAGATTACTTACAAGAATCTTGCCGTAAAAGGGATGTACCCCACCTCGGTTGAGGCACAGGCTTGGCCTTCATTGCAGCTTACAACCTATCGCGGGGTACTTAAACCTTGAAAAAATTGGACCTAAATTCAAAAGGACGGCGATATTTTGTAAATGACTCCATCTCAGCATTTTTTGACATTGGCCTCAATCGTCCTCCACCCCTCGATCGTTCCTCTAGTATGGCAGGAGGGAAAACGTGTTTTAGTGGTGATCGCAACTCGGCCAATATCTGTTTGGGAAGTCGCATGCAGGCGAGATATGCTCATTTTTCATCGCCTCTAATGATTTATCTCGAACATTACTAAATTTGGCTGGAACGAAAGGGAGCAAAGTACGTTTTACTCGAGTAAATACCCACCTACACTCGTCACATGTGAGAGGTTTTTTTTTTCTTTAATTTTGACCATATCGGAGGATCAAGCCTTTCAATGCAATTTTTTGGTATTGCACCGTGCAAAGGTCTTCAATTTACGCTCAAAAACTCCCGTTTCACATTCAATTCAAACTAATCCCGCATGTAATGAGGTTTATCTCGACCTCAGTGAGGGAATTGGGAAAAGAGAACTTTACAACTTCTTTGGGTGAATTTTCATATTTTTCCAGTTCTTTGCATTGAAAAGCAGTTTAAGTCACTCCTCCGAGAATTAAATTCTTGCAATGGTTTATAACATTAATATAGTATTAATAATATATAATATTTGATTCTTTAATCGATCGCATAACAATATGCAATACCCCATTGTTAGCCTAAACCAAAAACATTTCAGAAAATCAAATCGAAAAATCTAGCTTGGGAGTTGAAATCAGAGTTTACCCGTGCGGGGGATCTCAGTCCAACGGCAGAGGTGGAGGGGTATTAGGCCAAAGAATTCTTGCCCCAACTCGATTTCGTGAAGACTCCTTTACCTCTGCTTAGCCATTACTTTGTAAGAAAGTGGTTTTGAACAGAAGACAGTAATGGAA